CTAAAGAGCTTGGATCACGTTGTGCACAGGCTGCCTTACTTTGAGGACTATCGCGCTCTGTCGGAGCGGCTCCTAGCCGTTGAGCAGACGAATGCGTCGCTTCATGCGATGGTAAAGCGCTTGGAGCCGTTGGGAATTAAGATCGTTGTACATCGTGCTCAAAACCAGTTGCTGGTTCAGCTTCTGGGTGGTCGAGCGCCTGTGGGCGCCGCTCTGACGCCAACGCTTCCGCATTCACTAGCGCCGGATCCCGGTACGGCTTAAACAAGCCCACATACAACACCGGGTGGATGCGCATCCTTCGCGGAAGGTTAGCGTACACGCAAGGCCCCGCTTGCAACGATCTCAAAACGTTCGATGAACCGTGGACGGGCTTTGTCTTAAAGACAGCAGAAACTGAACTCAATATTTTCAACATTTCTGCTGCTTCTTCCGTCTGCATATTATTTCTGCATGTCTTGGCTTCAGCTATCGCACGCGAACATGTCGTAAGTCACTCAGTCTGATAAACAGGAAGTCATCGACTTCTTTACGAACAGTAAGGGGCTGACATCAGCTAGCCGCTCGGCTATTCCTTCCCCACCAAGCCCTGAGCCATGGGATGGTGGCGTCAGCGGAATGCGAGGATAAACGAGTCGGTTAAGCAGAACGGCGTGTAGCCGGTAGACGAATGCACTGCATTGTTCAAGGTGAACTCTTCAAGTTGCAGCATGGCGCTTTAGCGCTTTGGGGTTTTGGCGCAGACGCTGCGGGGGACGTCTTCAACGAAGCGATCTACGCGCTCAGTTTGACCATCGGTCTGTGGATGGTCCGCTGTTGACATATCCAGCTCGATAACAGCACCTTGAAGATCGTCGACCAAAACCTTCCAGTGAAGCGTGTGTCTCTGACAGCAAGTATTGATTCCTAAAGTCCAAGTTGTCAAAAGACACGATCGACAAACAGCGTCGCCATACCCACAACGTCGACGGTGTCAGGCACTGCCGCAAAATGATCCATCTTGCTCAAACGGTCCATAAAGACCACCATAACCGTGTTGCCCGCCGAGTCCTTCGGCAGGCCAAACGCACAGTCCAAACTCATGGACTACCAACATCCGGAGGGTACCGGTAAACTGGTCAACGGCCTCGCCGCATTCGAAGAGGGTTTCACCCTTTGACATGCCTCACACGCGCGCACATACGTGCTCGTCCATTTGTACAGCTTGGACCACCAGTAGTGGCAACTCACAGACCTGTACATCTTCTAACGACCGAGATGACCACCGAGTGGGGTGTCGTGGGCCTCACAGAGCATACAGTATTTTAAATCCTCATCGTGAGGAACCACGATTTGTGGTGAATCCGTCGAGTCGGTGCTATAATACAGCAATCCCTATTCACTGAATATCGGTGCAACCGTACACGCAGTCGCGACAACAACTTCTTGTCCGAGTCTGCAAAGTCGTTGCTTCCGAGAGCCCGTAGCGGCGCTACGCACATACCATCACCCGCGGATGCGGCGCGGATCAAATTTGTCACGGATGACGTCACCGTCGTGACATGAGCAACCTTATCATCTGGTCTGCTTGACAACGCATCAGCCAGAGCATTCTGAATTCCTGGTTTATACTTCACTTCGAAGTTATATTCTGCAAAGAAGGAGAACCACCTGGTCATTTTCTGCAAGAGGTGAGGCGACTGAGTTGCAGTGCGTAGTGACGCATGAACGGTACCGATCACGAACGGCTTGGGGCCGAGCAGGTGATTCCTGAACTTGACAGGTGCATACTTCATCGCAAGCAATTCCTTGTCGTGAAATGGGTTACTCTTCTCTGCAGCCTTGAGCTAGCGAGATGTGAACGCGATCACCCGGTCTCCCCTTAGACGTCTGCTGGCAGCAGTGCACAGCCGATGTCAAACTCCGAAGCGTCACAGACAACACTGAAAGGACGATCGGGGTCTAACAACGCCAGGACTGGTGCATGAAGAAGGTTGTCTTTGGCCCGTCAAAGATCTCCTGATGCTCGGTGTCCCAACACCATTCTGCATCCTGCTTATGGAGATTCGACAATGGCCGTGCCATTTCTGCGAAGAACCTGTTGTACTTGTGCGAGTAGTTGGCGCGGTCAAGCCACTTGCGTAAGTTCTTCTGGTCATTTGGCACCGGCCAGTTCACAATGGCCTTGACCATAGCGGGATCCGCTCGAAGACCACGCTTCCCGATAAAGCACCCTAAAAAGAGAATTTACAGTGCGAGAAATGCACTTATCTGCATTGGCATACAGCTTACCCGTGAGCATGCACTCGAGCACCACTCTTAAATGAACGATGTGGCTTTCTTCAATCGACCTATCGTTCCCCGCACGACCGTGGACGAAGTTGTCGTCGAAGCATATCTGTGCGTACGCCCGGTGGGGGCTATACAACTGCGTCGCAAGACGATTAAATGTTGCTGGTGCATTTGACAGCTCTTGGGGTATTACCAGCCACTACCGGAGCATACCGCTCAAAGTACTCACCGCTGTCAGCGAAATATCACTCGCTCTCATGAGCAATTAGTAAAACCACCGACCAAGTCAAGTGCACTGTACTTTGTACATCTACCCATGTTGTTCTGGAGAACATCCTTCCTAGAAATAGACGTCTGCGGTGGAATGGTAACAGCGTTTAGATTATTGTAAGCGTGAGCGATACGCCACTTCACGTTCCGTTTCCGGACACAAAATGCGGGTGTCGGGTGAGCAGACTTGCTCGCGCACTATTCCTGCGTCGTGATTTGCACGGAGGAAGTCGTCAGCGACATCACACTGCTCCTTGGGCAGGGGCCATTGGCGTCTTACGCAGTATTTGGTTCCCGGAACCTGGTCAATTTCATGACGCGCACCTCGGTCCGGAGGTAGGACTGACGGCGGGTCTTTGGAGACGATGTCTCGAAATTCTTTCACCAAAGGATAGTACGGATCTGAAGGATTGCCCAGGATCAAAGATCCACTTCGTGCGCTTTGATCCCTCTTGGTGTCCTCCAGAACAGTTTCATCCAGAAGCGACGACGAGTTGATCTCTTCTTCCGGTCGAATAATAACCACTTCGGCTTAGTTGTTTGCCTTCAAAGCACCGCCAAGCACTTCGAGGGATATCTCGTCTAGCTCAAGAAAAGCTTCCAGCCTCGAGGGTGGCGTCGTCTAGCTGTGCGCTATTGACTACAGTAGACGCATCCGGGTCCGGGTCAACGCCCCGCGTCTTGCAGCTAGCATACGGCGAGACCAGTATGAACACGCACTCAGCGCTGTCCAGTGTCAGCTCCACATCCTGCTCCACCGGAGCCCTGATGGTATTAGCAACATCCGACGAAGAGCTACTAGCTTCGCAGTCTTCGTCCATTGGATAACGTACCACTCCACGCGCAGCTGTAGGGCCTTATCCAAGATGCCTCGGACCTCGTCCGACCATGCCACCCGTGGTATACAGCGACTGTTTCAAACGTGAACAGTGCTGTAGATTACGCACCACTTCCCGTGCATCACTAAAGTTTCGCCCTCAATGCCTCGGACCTCGTCCGACCAAGCCATTCGTGGCATGCAGCGACTGCTTCAAAACGTGTGTAGCGCTCAGTGGATTACGTGCCACTCCACGCGCATCAGTGGGGCTCGCCCTCGATGCCTCGGCCCTTGGCCGATCCTGCCACGCATACCATGCAGTAATTTCTTCGGTACTTGAGCTGCGCTTGGTGCTCCACGTTCAGCGTGCGAGCCATGTTCGGGGCTCCTGTCCGATTCACCTTTGATAATCACCAACTTGGATACTCCGAGCTTCAGCTTGTTGACTGTCTCGGTCCAGTGTCCGCGCCAATAGTGTTTTTGTCTCCTAGCAGAGGCGGCTTCATGACTCACCAAAGCTCCATCAGGAGACGTGCGCATGGCGCCCAAAGTCCTCAACTTCCAGTCGATCCATGGCTCATAGTGTTCCAGTCATGCCATCCCAATGATGAGGTCATTCCTTAAATCCAAGTCTAAGACCAAACAGCGTTCCACGCTACCGAAGTCAAGAAAGTTGACACCGAGGTCTACAGGGACCCTCGGCAAAGTGAAAAGTCCCCGTCGCTAAGCGAACAGTGACGGTGTCACTCACCCGCGCTTTCAGCATCTCAGCATACAGCTGACTTCCTTCGATTGTGGAGCGTCGAGCATAATTGTCTGACGCCTCGAAATCGATCAGGATCTTCCACGGCTTCTCAAAGACCTTTACGGTCGCTCAAGCCCGGCTTGTATACACGTTCCGTGTTCAAGCACGGAACTCTTCGGGGCTGGGCCCCGCTGGCCTCTACCACCTTGACGCTCAACAGAATTAAGTTCTTCCCCAATAGGTCACCCCGCCTTCTGGGTGTTGTCGTTTTGCCGCGACAAACCATATGACAGGTAAGAAGCGGGACGTCGGTTCGATGAACCCTGACGCGCCTTGCGCAGGGCCGAAGGTGACGGGTGTCGACACAGTCAGAACACTTTTGGGTACTCAAACGCTGCTCGGCAGCTCGAATCTCTGCCTCCTCGACCTCAGCATAGCCGAGATCCATAGGTTCAGATCCGCTCGACGAGCTGCTAGTGTGCATTCCAACCAAGTCGAACCGACTTAAAGTTAAATTCGGCATTTAATGACACGGAGGACTTACATTCTGGTCACGCCAGTGCGAGGGCCCTCTACAAAGACGATCACTGTGACCGCTTCGGAAAGCGAATCGGCTTTCATACCGGCAATGAGAGGACGCAACTCTTGGACAAAGTTCATTATTCCTTCTTGCCCTGTCGGACGGCAAGGAAACGCAATCGCACGCGATATGTATGGCTAGGCGGCGAGAACACTCGTGCAAGCTGCAGCTTCAGCTTTGCTTAGATGGGAAACGCTATATATATTCCAAAATATTGCTTTATTGCTTACATATTCCACAATATTTTTAATTTATATTCTCAAATCCCAAATTTAATTCTAACGGGGGCTGACAAATCTTTTATCCCGTTTACAATCATGAAAATGTTCCCAACTGCTTCGTTGCTACCTAAAGAGGAAACTCTTGCTGATCGCTTTTTGCAGCAATATCCAGAGTATGATGGTCGTAATACTATTGTGGCAATCTTTGATACAGGTGTAGATCCTGGAGCTATTGGACTACAGACAACATGTGACGGACGTCCAAAGATCATTGACATTGTGGATGCCACAGGTGCTGGAGATATTGACACATCAATTGTTCTTGAAGCAAAAGATGGTCACTTAACACTTGCTTCTGGTCGTGCTCTAACACTTGATCCTGAGTGGCCATTAAGTCAAGATGGAACATATCACGTTGGAAGTGTAGCTGGATATCATTTGTTTCCAACACCATTGATAGCGCGACTTCAAAAGGAACGAAAAGAAAAGTTTGAGATTCAACAACGAAATGCAATGAATGAAGTTCAACAACAATTAGTTATATGGACAAAACAGAATGATGTCAAGACGAAGGATCCAGTGAAAAGACGAGAGAAGAAAGATCTGGAAACGCGACTTCAGCAGCTAGAAGATCTTGTCAAAACTTATGAAGATCCTGGACCAATTTACGACGCTATTGTCTTTCATGACGACACTTGTTGGCGTGCTGCTCTGGATACATCAGAGACTGGAACATTTACTGGCATCCCGTTGATGACTAATTTTAAGCTTGAACGACAGTATGCAACGTTCTCAAACGAGTCTCAGCTCAATTACGTACTGAATATCTATGATGATGGAAATATATTGAGCGTAGTGAACGATGTTGGTGCGCATGGTACACATGTGGCTGGAATTGTTGCCGCGTACTATCCTGAGCAACCAGAGTGCAATGGAGTGGCACCCGGTGCCCAAATTGTGGCCGTCAAGATAGGAGATGGTCGACTTGAAGGCATGGAGACGACATCAGCGCTCAGTCGTGCGATTTTAGCAGTGATGGATGCAAATGTTGATGTAATTAACATGAGTTACGGCGAATATGCGTCGCAACATAATTATGGACGACTTATTGAGCTAAGCAATGAGCTTGTGAATGATCATAATATTACATTTGTTGTCAGTGCTGGAAATAATGGACCTGCGTTGGGTACAGTCGGCGCTCCTGGTGGTACAACGTCGAGTATGCTTTCAGTTGGAGCTTACGTTTCGCCTCAAATGATGGAAGGCGAGTATATTATGCGAGACAATAACTTGTCGGGTACTGCATATACATGGTCGTCACGTGGTCCAACGTTTGATGGCGACTTAGGTGTGAATGTCTGTGCACCAGGAGCTGCCATTGCTCCAGTGCCAAATTGGACATTAAATAAAAAACAATTGATGAATGGAACATCCATGTCATCGCCTAATTGTGCTGGAAATATTGCACTTCTTGTTAGTGCAATGAAAGCTCTTGGTGTCCAGTATACACCGTACTCGATCCGTCGTGCACTAGAGAATACTGCAATAAAAGTACCAAATGTAGATGTATATGCTCAAGGCAAGGGACTGATTCAAATTGTTCCAGCATTTGAGTACTTGAGTCAAAGCAACACATTTGATGGGACGAGACAATTTCCACTTTATTATCAAGTCAAGACATCGTCCGGTGATGGAAATGCACGTGGTATCTTCCTTCGAGATTGTGTTGATTTTATTCATGAATGTACTGAAGTGGATGTGACTGTCACGCCAATCTTTCACAAAAAAGCACTTCAAGATGATAAGATTCACTTTGAACAACATGTGCAGTTCGTTTCTTCGGTTCGTTGGATTGAAATTGGACGAAACATGGCATTAATGCATGATGGACGATCGTTCAAAGTGCTTATTAAGACCAAGCACTTAGCTGCAGGTGAACACTATGGGGAGATAATCGCGTACGATACGCAAAATGAGAATCGCGGTGCTCTCTTTACGGTGCCTATTAGTATTATAAAACCTGATGATGCACCATCGATAGTTCACTTTCAGAACAGATTTCAGTCTGGAGATCTATTTCGTCGCTTTCTCACACCTCCAGAAGGTGTAACATGGGCTGACATTATCGTATCCCGTGCTAGCGATTCAGATATGGACTCGAATGCGTCTGGAAAGCTTTTTATGCTTGATATGATGCAATTTCAACCATTTGTGCGTCAAAGTCTATCATCGTTCCATAAGGCATTTTATCTTAAGCCTGGACAGGAACTTACTTTTAGTATGGATTTGCTAGGCGGATTGACAACGGAATTCTGCTTAAGTCAATTCTGGAGTGCACTTGGAGACTCGATCGTTAAAATCGAGATTCAATTCCATGGAATTAAACCTGATCAAGAGAAAATTGTAATCGTCGGAGGCGAAGAATCGCATAAAGTGCTTGTGTCCAGTAGCGTATCAAATGAAATCTTGGCGCCTCAACTCAATTTTACCAAATATAGTCAATACATTCGTCCTGAAACAGCCGAGATCTTGCCATTAAGTACAAGTCGTGACAAATTCCCAGACAAACGTCAAGTGTATCAGTTGATTTTATCATACTCATTTACGAAAAAGGAACCAGGTGCTGTGGTCCCTCACTTGCCATTACTGAATGGACGTTTATATGAATCACCGTTTGAAGCACAGTTGATGCTTATCTTTGACGACAAGAAGCAATATATTGGCTCTTCGGATGCTTACGGCAATAAAACGACACTTAAAAAAGGGTCGTATGTGATTCGAGCTCAAGTACGACACGAAGATGTTAGCAAACTCGAAAAACTCAAGCAAATGATCTTGATACTTCACCACGACATTAAAGAGATCACAGCATCAGTGTATGGACATCAAGATGATGTGGCATTAGGTGGTAAAGCCTTAGAAAGGAAGAATTTACCATTGAAAAAGTATGTGCCGCTGTTTCTTGGAGAACCTCCACGCGACAAACTTCCTTTAGGTCATGCGGTTGGAGATACTTTGAGCGGTTCCATTTACTTTGGTCAGAAGAACGGAAGTGTTAGAGGGTGAGTAGATAACGATCAGATGATATTCTAGAATTTGACTCATCTCTATTGTTTGCAGGAGTTGTCGACGTCCGAATGGCTTTGATGTGACATATGTGATTCCACCAGCACCAATTCCTGCTAAAAGTCATGAAGCGGACGAACCCACTGACGAACGTGAGGAAGATGTGATCGCTCAAGAAGCTATTCGTAACTTGCTTCTTGAGCGTGTAACAAAGTTAAGTGGCAAACCAACTTTCTTGCCTGCGTGGCAGCGTCTTGTGGACCAGTTTCCAGATTGCTTACCAGTACTGCAGACAAAGCTACATCACTTTGATTCTGAGGCATCTCGTTCGAACCACTTGACAGAAGTGGTTGACGCAGCCGATGCTGTACTTGCGCTTATTAATCAAGATGAACTAGCGCTGTTTTTTGGCACGCGAAGCAATCCGGATGAATCTCCAAAAGAAAAAAAACTACGCAAGGAAAAGGAGAAAGAGAAGACAATTCTTACTGACGCATTGGCTCGCAAAGCACGAGCTTTTGGTGATTTAGAACAATGGCATGATTTCTTAAAAGCTTTTAGTGACCTACAGAAATGGGAAGACGTTGACTCGCCTATGTGTTTGCACGTTGCGCTACTGCATGATCGACATTGCCATGCGTATGGACTCGCATTACAGCGTTTACGTAAAGTGCAAAGCCTGGAGCCAGAAGAGAAGACGAAGATCATTTCGGACGAGAAACTGACGGCAGAAATTGCTAACATATTGAATACGCTTGAGTGGCAGCACTGGAGTGAGTACGAGACTCAGTGGGAACGTCGTCGTACGCCGACCTCTTATCGAGTCTTTTAGTCAAACCATCATGCTTCGTGGCCTCACATTAGAAGCTAGAAAATCGGCGCTGTTATTGCGTCCAGTCGTCTAAGTAACTTCTTTAAGCAGGGAATAACAAAAGCTATGAACGAAATGTTGTTCTTGTTTCATGTTACAATCTACTAGACAAGTACGCGATAAGCAGTAAGAACACTACTATCGCGAGAAACATCTAACAAGGACACCTCAATATGTAAGATAGAAGATATAGCATGCGTTGGCTCTTCAATTCCAATGCTTTTATTCCTCAAATGTTCGAAGTCTGCGGTCAAGAGCACATTCGTCACTTCCAAAGATTTTTTTCTTAAACCATGATTTTGTATGGGCAAACCAGCCCGAATCACATTTTTTCTGTGTTGGAGCAGGCGTTGGAGCAGGAGTAGAAGCTGGAGGCTCTTCTTTATCACTGCCATCAGCAGGTGGTGGGGCTGGTGCGCTCGCTCCAGTGCCTTTAAGTACATTGTCAATACTGGGAGGCTTCAGATCTTTGTCACTTAATGCTAATAGACCATCCATATAAGATGTGTCTGATCCTGGAGGCTTGGGATCTGGTGAAGTCTTCGAGCTGTCACTTTTACCAGAATCACTTGCATCACTGCCACCGTATTTTGCAAGCCAAGATGACACATTAGACTTACCCTCCCCTGTGCTTTTACTCGAGGAGGAATCCGAATCACTTAAATCACTTCCACCGTACTTTGCAAGCCACGCTGATACATTCGATGTATCACCTGCTTTGACTTTACTCGGCATCGAAGAACCATCAGAATCACTTCCACTGGTGAGCAAACTTGGAGTCTTTGCTGACTGCAGTGTATTTGAGAGGCTACTACCACTTGAGTCAGTGGCATCAGTATCGCCGTACTTGGCAAGCCAAGCTGACACATTCGACGAGTCTTTCCCACTACCATCTTTTGGCAAATCTACTGCCTTTGAATCCACTTTCGTCGTGACTGGTGCACTTGATGTATTCCCTTTGTTCGCCTGGTCCAGTGTGGAAAATGAGGCCAACATTTTATCGAGCTCATCCTCATCTAAACGTAACAAAGCATCCATTTTCGATTTATTGTCACTACCAGCAGAACCACCAAGAGCTTCATCCAAAATGCGATTCTTTTCTCGAACTAGCGCGTCTTTATCCTTTTGCGTGACATCTGATGATGATAGAGATGGCGAACCTTGACTACCAGAAGCTGCAGAAGTATCGACATCTAATGTCGAAGGACTCGATACATTAGCGCCACGCTCTTCGTTAAAACTCACTAAATTGCGAGCGTCATCCGTCGCACTTATATGATGTTGACGAGAATAGAGACTCACGGTCGCTATCAAGACGGTTGTACTTACGCGCATCGTACCAAATGAAATGAACTGAAGTTCTTGACCAGATGAAGTCGCTCAAGCGCAAATTGGGATTTGAAATACAAGGCTCTCGAGCTTTTATGCGTAATTCGAGACTAGCCAGTGCGAAAGCCAGTGAAAATTTGCCGCAAGCGATTAGATCAGCACAATTTTTGGGCCAAATTGAGCTTCGGAATCAATTCTTTTGAGCCATACGATTATCTACTTATAGTGTAAAAATGTTGGCATGTATACATTCATACATACATTCATACCTACCTGATCCAATGCACAGAGACGAGAATTTGTAACAGATGATACATTTTTCTATTTCGAAAAATTGGTTTGTAATACCTGTGATAATTACATCGTCATTAGCGTACGAGCAGGGTTTGATCCTTTGTTATCATTCAAGTGTCGGGATCTGATTCAAGTTACGGCTAAAATTTAGTAGAATGTCACCCAGTATATCATAAGTCTTGCGATGATGACTCGGATCGTGCGCTTCAAAGTCCAGATTGGTTATCGCAGATTGCGCCCGCTTTCTGGACCAAAGTTTGTATGGTGAAGGCTCATATCAATTGTACTATTGCTCAGTAACTTGAGGTGGTGGTCAAATTGTGAAGACTCACTTAACTACCACTCGAAGTACTCGTCTGCCCCAGTTCGAGACGCATCAGCTACAGTCAACACCTTGTGATCCCGGTGTATAAAGCGCACAGCTTTTAAGCAGATAAGGATCCGCTGCTAGATTCGAGCTGTCAGAATCGCAAAAAATGCCTAGTTTGAGGTCTTTTGTTATGCAATAAGCGATAGCTTGTCGGATACTTACAATGCAGCACAGTATCAGCATGTGCTTTTCAAACAGCCAGTAAGATTGTACCACCACTTGAATTTTCAGACGTTGAGCTTGAAATCTCGGGATAGACCTGCCAAGTTGATGTCTAAGAATTTTCCAGTAATTTTACGAGTAGAACTGCCTAGCGGTGATGTCACGCATAACATGCTTGATATACAAGTGGTCTACCACCAAAAGGCATTAAAATGGATTTGTCCACGCCTGTTCTGACAACATGCACTGGTAACTAACTCTAACGTATTAAAATCAAAATTTTGGATAGCGTCGCTGAGAAGAAAAGTCTTCGCTTTGCTTCTTCTACATGTAGTCGATTGACGTCCAATGTCCGTATGTCATCACCCGATGCCAAAGTCGATCTGAACTGGATCGTGATGTGGCTTCAGGAAAGCTTTGCAATTGGGTGCAATTGCATCCGCTTTTTAAATGTAGAGTTTGTACGTCAAGCCTGGCTTTACAAATGACTATGAACTTATACAAAAGTATCAACTGGATGTTCACTACGTAAATATGTGGTTTGGGTATGTCTGACTGAATCTGCGAACCACATGGTATATTAATCAAACCTACCTAATCTAGTCGGTAACAGCATAAGTAAAAAAATCGGATCTTCTCTTCCCGTTAACGGCTTAGCGAATCCTCATGTACCGAAGAGAGGCGTTGAGCTTAATGGCAAAGAATTCGTGAATAGCCAAGTCGATTATCGTTGAAATATATCGCACCCTGCAACGAAATATAGAAGTTAAGCCTTTGAAATGACATAGAGGCTCAAATGTCTGAGCTCTGAAAGAAAAACCACTGGTATAATTGAGATTCTGATGTAACTAACACTCGCTCTGCTATTTCAAGATGTGCACCTTATTAGATTATTTAGCCTAGTACTACAAAGTTATGTTTGACTAAACCTCATTCTAGACCTGCGTTTCTTCTCTAACGTCTAATTTCCGTGATCTTCACAAAATCAATATTTGAATTGACCATACGTGATGTAAAATACTAATTTCATCCAGCTGTAACGTACTTTAATTTGAACAGGTGTGAAAGGGTTAAGTATTCAAGAATTGTCTCTTCACTAACATGTGGATCAAACTGGCGTTTTGGATTTTTGAGACACTGCACAATAGTGACCGCTCCACAGGTAACAACTGCGCGTGGAGCTCAGTCTACTTTTTTACCGTTTCTAGTCTTCTGAGCGTATTTGCACCCGAACTGCTTCCATAACCTCAAAAGGCTCTGCAAGTCCTTGTCAAAAGGGCAGTCTTTGCGGCTGATACACTAAATTCTAGGCTAGCATGCCGAGGTGCTTTCTAATGAGAGCAGTCCTAGTGACTATCGGAGTCCTGAACAAACACCAAGCGGCGATACGCATCCTAGCCGTTCTCCAGAGATAAAAGGCGCTCACTGCGCGCTGCGTGAGTCTCGAAATCCTTGCTCTCTCCAACGAGCTGGCCCTTTAGGGATGGAGCTTGCTCAACAACCCAGCTTGCTTTACTGCAAGTCCAAAGATCACGTCGACTCTCGCGAAATCACGTCGTGATTATACTTTTTAGATGGTAACTAATCAAAGCTTTTCCATATCTCTGTGTGGATCGTCTGCTCTCACCCTGAGCGCAAAGAGTGCTCTTGAGACGCTCCACGAGCGCTTACTCAACCCGGGGATCATTACTTCCCGGAAATACGGTCTGTGCTTCGATCAGCACTGGTTGAAAAATCTGTACACTCCTCATGGACTGTACGGATTTTTCACCATGAGGAGTACCCTTGAGCTAGGAGCTGGTGAAAGTGCCGCTGCGTATCAGCTCGGTGAGCGCAACACTGTTCGCCTCACCCACCTTATAGCCTTATAAGTTAGTTTCAACGAAACAGAGGTCTGCTTAGCGTGTCGTCCCATGTTTGGCTTTGCAAACTAAAAGCACGGCGCGGACGTTGAGGCGGCAAACCATCGCCTCGTATTCGTGTTGTTTAAAGCCCCGCTCGTCTCCACCGGAAAGCTGTACACCGATCACGAGTATTCAAGACCAAAAGGCCAGCCACATCTTGCTAGTGGAAACGCATTGCGAAGAGCGGCCCTGGCCCTTCTTTGAAAAAGATAGAGGCTTAATGCGCGCCAGTTCCTTATCGACCGCTGCACTAGTGCGGTCTCGCAAAAGTGGCATAACAAAACACTACATGTTCTCATACGGAAGTAAATCCTTTAACTACACGAAGTACTCATGATAGCCTTGGTATTCCCTATTCCACCAAAAGCTTCATGGGAAAGTGGACTGATCCTTGCTCATTGAGTCGTGCCGGCAGACGAGGAATTTCTTGCGGCTGGATCTCGCGGGCTCTCTCGGTAGTGACGGCACGCCAATTCTCTTTACGATTTACGATGTGCGTCTGAGGGTAGGATGATCTAGTTTTAAATTTTGCTCTCTGAGTCTTGTCGTCACATCGCCTTGCTTCGGGTACCCCTGGCGGTTGGGAATCGCGTTGCTGTTTCGGAACAGAGGGTAGATCAGCTACTCGGAGTGGTTAATGTGTCTGATGTTTCTAATCAGATCCACTTCGTGGCAATGAGCCGCGAAGTGAATAGGAAGAGCTCGAGAAAGATTCTCGCAAAACACCTCACCAGGTGAACACACTACGTGTAAGTACACCAATTCACCTGCAAGATGTGTCTGTAGTAGTAATTACGCATTTGTAGCTCCCTTATGTAGATGCTAGCCGTACGTCAACAACAACATCGCCAAATGAAGAAGACAATACAAGTCCCACGTCTTGTCGTCTGCTATATGTTATACGTGAAGTCAGACGAGATGCAGCATGGCCAAGAGCTCGCTACGTGAATGAAGTGTTCGTTGATTAAGATCTTCTTCTGTTCACTTCATCTTTTGAAACGCAGCCAGCTGACGTACTGAGAATAGTCACTCATTCAAAGCGAGTCAGCGAGCTGAACCATCTCGCTTAAATGGTCTAGGAAGACTTAAACATTGATAAGTCGGACGTGTTTTGTGGAAGATTAAAACGATGCCCACCTTTCAGACTATCCACATTCTGTCGGAAGTGTCAAGCTGGCGATGGCGCTGACGCACGCGAAGAGCTTTTAACTTGTTGATGCGCTTGACCTATGCGCACACATTCTTACATGTCAGGACTTCGATATATAGCTTCTTACCGAACAGTATGTTCTTACGCTTTCATGGTGGGCAACCATGGTTTATCATGTGTTTGATATACTGTTATGCGCTTTAAGGCATCATCATAAGGCAACACTACCTGATGGATCTCAATCAGATCGGTGCTGTAATACAGCAAGCTTTGCAATAAGATATAAACGATATAACGACATCTGAGTTTTCTCACCATCTTCCTCTACAAAGCTTTCGGCAGCTCAATAATGCAGGGTATGGTTCGTACGCTGTACGGATCGCCCCATCATTTGGCGATGTCACTATTGTGACACGCGACGGCTCATAGCCCCAAAAACATCCGCCACGACATACCTGATGTACCTCACGATGTCATTGATATTTCTTTTAGGCAATCCCGTGTTCTGCAAGAAAGTTTTCACAGATTCGCGTCCATGTCAAGAGCGCATCGACTCACTTACTGAGTGGATAAATTACTCATCAAGTGTCACCAGGAGAATGATCATCCCATGGCTTGATTATTTGTCTACTTCTAATCAGCAGAAGAAATATACTGATCATCGCGAACAAATCATTTTGCTGTTAGGTGCGCATCTTGATCATAACAGCTGCCTCAGGCAGGTCATGTTGGTGAAAGTCTTGATGGAGAAAACTTTGGCTGTTCGGTGTTACCGACAGCAGCGACACGAGCCATCTTTCTCTGACTGTGATGGGGTATCTGTCGAAACTTGTGCACTTACTAAATACACTTTTAGTACAATTACATTACACGATTGCCTGAAATTTACGTTGTACTCTTGTTTTATTAAAAGTTTCATAAGTACTGAAGTATAGTCATTAATGGACTCGTGGGGAATAGGTCCGTTTTACGTGGGCTCTTAGCCGCATATTAAGCAAAAAAATGGTATAATTACGAGATAGAGTAAAACGTATATATGTCGTATAAGTCTAGCTAGCATTGATGCTGCTTAATGTACTCTTGAGATGGGAAAGCAGAATAGTGACTGAGTCACATTTAGACTCTC